AGTGGGAAACAACATCAATCCTTGCCCCTTTCTAGTGATGAACAAGAACATGAAGTGTTGGAGGAAGGGATCGTGCAACAACAGAAAGGTGGAAACAACAACAATGAACTTGATGTCGGTACCATGCCGAAATCATCTGATGACCGTGAAGGGTCTAAGAAACAAAGAGAAAGTCCGGTAAGGAAATACATTCCCCCAGTTCCTTATCCGAACAGATTGAAGAAAGCTAATATGGAGGAGCGGAGAACTAAATTTTTGAATGTTATCAAGCAATTGGATATCTCAATTCCTTTGCTTGATGCCATTACAGAAATTCCTTCATATGCTAAATTTCTCAAAGATATTCTCACAAAGAAGAAGGAGAATCCAGCTACTGTTGCAATGAGTCAAGAATGCAGTGCCATCATCCAAAATAAAATCACACCCAAGTTACGTGATCCTGGAAGCTTCTCAATTCCATGTACCATTGGTGGATCCAAAGTTAACAAAGCTCTTTGTGATCTTGGTGCAAGTGTTAGCTTAATTCCTTATTCACTATGTCAAAAGCTACACTTGGGGGATCCCAAACCAACAACAATGGCATTACAATTGGCTGATCGATCTGTCAAATATCCTATCGGTATTCTTGAAGATGTTCCTATCAAAATTGACAAGTATTATATCCCAGGAGACTTTGTTGTCTTGGATATGGAAGAAGATGCCCGAGTTCCTGTTATTCTCGGGAGACCTTTTCTAGCTACAGCAGGAACTATTATCAATGTCAAAAAGGGTACCCTTATCCTTGAGATTGGGGATGATAAGATCGAATTCAATGTACAAGAGTTGAGTAAGGATACACCTTGTGTCCTTGATGGTTACTATGCCGATGTTATAGACTCTTGTACTACTAATACATTTGATGAGTCGTATCGGCTTTCTAAAGATCCCATGGAGTACACCATACAAGAATCTATTGCAGATGAGCAAGCCAATGAAATGGTGAATTTATGTCTCGAAATGTTGCAAAGCATATTTTTACCAATGCCTAAAGCACTTAAATTTGAAGTGCTTAACCTTGAAGATCAATCCTTGAATATCAAAGGAAAAGCACCCAAAGTGAGAGACAAGAGGCAACTTCTGTGTATTGCCTCATTGATCCAGAATATGAATGAAAGGCATGGGTCAAGCTAATGACCTTAAACGAGCGCTTCTTGGGAGGCAACCCAAGTTTGTAAATTTCTCACAAAAAAAAAGTCAAAAAAAAAAAGAGAAAGACAAAAAAAAGATTAGTCTAGGTTTTCTTTATTTCTTTGGACTCTAAAGGGGCCACATCCGCTCAAGGGGATCTCCAAACGTCATGCGGATAAACAATTCCAGATTCGGTCGCGCTTCAGGGAAGTTTTCTTTACACTCCTTTAATTTCTTTTCCACTGAGGACAGTGCAAATTTTAAGTGTGGGGGAGTGGGTAGTTCGACCCTGATTTCTTGTGTGAATATTTTTTTCCTTGTGTGTTTGTGTGATTTTGTTTTATTTATTTTGTGTGTTTTGTTTGTGAATAAAGACCAGTCTTGTCCAAAATGCAACAATAGACTAGCAACACACTAGTTTACACTTTTTGTTACTAGTTACCTCCTTAACTTTTTAAATTATTCATTCACCTCTTTTGATGAAATGTGGTTTGAGTTTGAGAAGTGTCACTGTAATTTTTTGAGAGTAACTTAGTATGAGCTTTGAGCTTGATTCTTTCTAACAATTTAACATTTAACACCTTAGATTTTATTTTTCCAATTTATTGGTTTAATAGTTGAATTAGTGAAAGTTTATGCAGTTTAAGATGTTTATACATTTATTCTCCTTGAAAATTTTATTTGAACTTGACAGAGTAGAAATGATTTAGGCCATCTTTGTTTACCCATGAAGCCAAATACTATCCCTTTGTAAATAAATAACACTTTCCCTAGTAACCCTGTTTTAGCCTTTTCAGTGTACAAGTGTAAAATAACTTACTTCACTTGTTACTAATTTTTCTTGTGACCTTGTAAATACATAACCTTGTGAAATCCTACCCAAGTCATTTTTGTTTGAACCCTAGAGTAGTTTGTATTGTTACTTGAGAGTGGATAAAATGGAGCTTCCGTTAAGTGTCATATTAGTGAAGTACATATTTGTTTGTAAATTTTGGGGTTAGTTTTTCATTGTAATATTTAGTGTGTGCCTTCTTTGAAAAAAAAAAGTTCGAAAAAAAAAAGAAAAAAAAAACAAAAAAAAAAAAGAAAAAAAGAAAATAAAAGTAAATAAAAAAACAAAAACAAAGAGGCACATTTTCTTGTTGTTCTTCTGTAAAACCCCATTTTTTTCCTTTTCATGTTCATATTTTTCATTGCTTTGTATGCTCCAAGTGCTTGTAAATTCGTGTGATTATCCGCTCAGTATAAGTGCAATCTAACTCTCTTTGTAAATTCTCATAACAAACCTTTCTTCCAACTAGCCACACTCATTAACCTCGCCACAACCCGAATAAAAGTCCTAATTGATCTATTTGTGTTCGTTTTCGAATTAAACTAATAGGAGAAACTTGTTCTGCATAACCCGAACTAATTCAGATCTATAGGTATTTGTGTTAAAAGTTTGATTTGAAAATCTTAGTGATAGGCAATAATACTCGGTTTACTCTCATTTAGTTATTTTGTGACATTTGAGGGTATTGGACCGTTTAGTGGACATTAGAGGTGTATGTGTGATTTGTTTAGTTATATTTGTAAATTTTACAAAATTGTGTATATTTTTGTGTTTGTTGTTTGTTTTGCTTGAGGACAAGCAAAAGTCTAAGTGTGGGGGATTTGATGTACTTATATTTTACACACTTTTTAGACTTAGTTTGTTGTTAATTTTAGTTATTAAAGTTCCACTTTTGTACATATTTTTATTATTTGTCGTTAGTTTGTATTAGTGCAGCTCTATACAGGTATTTTGTATTTTCAGGTACTTTTGACACAATTTGATATATTTGTGTGTGAAAAGAAGAAGAAAATGAAAGTTCCAGTCAAAAGTAGAATTTCAAGCAAATGAGTAAATTGAAGAAAAGAGGCAAAAAGTGAAAGAAATAACATGAAGCAAGGGTTCGATCCTTGGTCACTTGGGAAAAGAAGAGCAAGCTCAACCAGAGAGCTAAATGTCAAAGTTGCAAAGGTTTAGCTGAAGCTTATTTTAATTCCTTTCAACTGCAGCAAGAAAAGACGGAAAAAAAACGTCAACAGAAGGGTTCGAACACGGGACATCAGAGTCTCAGGAGCATTCCGTTTCCACTGCACTGCTACGCGTTATTGATACATGGACGCGTTTTCTTGTACATTTACTCTTCGGTTCCGTAAATTCCAGCAATTAATGATTAATCACCTTATCATTATATTGCCTTAATCCATCTCCTTCCACACATAATCTCGAGCCAACTTCTCTCTACACCTCCCAGAATCATTTCCTCCTCCTTCTCTCTTCATTCTTCACTTCCAAATCATCAACCCATCTTCAACCACAACTAATCACTTTCTCATTCAAGATTAAGTCAAGATTAGCAGCAAGCTCCAAGGATTATCATCTATCACAAGTTTGATTTTCCTTATCTCTTTAAATCTTGTACTTTAATCATGAATTCATCTATTTCTAAGCTTCCAAACATGTATAGCTAAATAAATTTGGGGCTAGAAATTGGTTAATTAATTGTTCTTATCATGTTTTAATTTGTATTGATTTTAATTGTTAAGTTTGTTCTATTTAGATTGTTGTGTCCAGAAAATTAATTAAGTTATGTTTGTGATATATATTATGAGTACTCAATCATAAACATATTGTTTGTTAAATACACAAATGAACACTTTCTGAACACACCGCTAAACTTCTTTTACCTTGTCCCGGATTGAAGTTTTACGGGGGAATTTAATTATTTAATTATATTATTTACACCACGGGGTTGGGTAAATAATATAGTTAATAATTAAGGTTGTCGTTGCACTTAAACAACTAGTCTCATTTTGGCCATCACTGGGAAATGTTGACTAGTTACTTATTTTAGATGACTTGTGTTGGGTCCTAAAATATTTATCTACAACTTCTCACAATCTATTTAAGAATAAAATTAGCAATTATGTCTCTCAATTAAACATTGAACAATTAGTTACCAATTTCTACCCCTACTTGCTATTTGTTGAACTTTGTGTTGATAAAAATCTCTCATCTCAATCACTTTTATTTTATTACTTTTTCAAGTAAACCAAAAATCAAAAGAACGCATTCCCAACTTTAATCTTTAGTTTGTGATTAATTATTTTATTTCCCGCTTCTCTGTGGTTCGACACCCTACTTCCTTGGGTAAAAAAAATAGTTGTGTGCCCATTATATGCTACACACCAGGACACAAGGTGGTTCCGCCTATGATCATGGACAACTACAACTAAGGTGTGTAACATGAAGTCTAGATTTTGTTGTCACCCCTACCGGTTCAATTTTAAGAGCTAGAGAAAATACAGTATGCATATGACTAAACTAAACAAGGGAATCATTGATTACCTCAGCCACAACCTGCTTAAGAAGAAAACAGTGAGAAACTAAACATCTAATTCAATACACCTTTGTTTATTTTTTATTTTCTTTAATGTTATTACCAAGAACACAAAGTTCTTTCTCCACAATTGTTATGGTTGTGGCATGCAAAAACAAGCCCATATCAAGACAAAAGATACAAGTAGGGATTAGGGAATGGGGAATAATGGGAGGAGGGGTTGAACCATGTTTGAATCATCAAGCTTAATTATGGGTAACCGGAGACACTATCTCAGCCCGTCTGACAAGGGTCATTTAGTGAACAAAAGGAAAGCATTTTGGTAAAACTGATTTCACCCAAAATAAGAAATTCAAAGTCTACCTATTTTAGTGGAAAGCATTCAAAAATTAAATCAATCATTCAGAAAAAAAAAACTAGAAAGAATTCCTTGTTTTTTCCTGTATATAATATTTTTCAGGAGGGAGGTTGCAATAAGACAACAATGAATGATTTCCAGCATACATAATCACACAAACATGCATCACAACAGTTAAAGACTTTTGCGATCTGTCCACCATCTTAGAGTATACAAATAAAATGGAAGTGATGTGACAAAATAAAAATTTACCTAAGGATTTTACTTTAACAATAACCCCTTCATATTCCATGATAGAATCAACATCTAGGCCTGAACCAGAACACATGCTACATATACATAATACACCACCTGCTGCTTTACAACCACCACAAGGAGAGATTTGTTTCCAATATTCTTCGCATGCAATGCTAGCCCCAGAGGGGTTCTCTACTTCTCTATAACCTCCTTAGACATAGACTTATCATAGCAAAAAAGAGATTGAAGGCTGCTCATTCTCCACATCATTTGAAAGTTGAAACTGCCTACACACATAAAAGAGAACCATGTAGTGGACCAGTCCTAGACCAGACCAGAATAGATCAGACTTGAACAGTTATAAAATGCACAGAGACCAGATATTTACCAGACCAGATCAGTTCAGACCAAACCAACAAATTTCAGTCCAAGTAAAAACTTCCTAAACTTAAAGTAACACTAGCAAATGTATCCTACATACCGGGGGGGGCTGTGAGCAAAAACCTGTTCTCCAAACAGCCCCAAGTTACACTTAAACGCTCTCACTTTTTAAATATTTAAAATTACTCGGTAATCAACACTCAGAAAACTTTCAATTGTGATCTAGCGTAGACATACACAATCAATATAGCCTCTGAACTGCAGAGTAAAAAGGTTGTTGCACTAGTTGTGGTGTGTGAAAAAGGAAAGAGAGGATGCCCATAAATATTTGTTTTTCATTTTTTGTTTTTCTATATCTTTCAGGTTTTATTTATTTATCTTCCAAGTATTGTTGTTAGTTTATCTTTCAGACTTTTGAGTTACTAGAACTACAGAAAACCTGACTAAGTTATCCGATGTCAGCCATCTGAAATTGGAATGTGGCTAGACAGCTGTCAAAAAGCCCAACTAAGTTATCTTACATCTCCATCAATGTAAAACCTGAAGGAGATGTTAGAAAACTATTTTCTGTGTCCCCATTTAATCTTCATACTTTCCATTTTAATATGTCCCCAAATAGTTTTCATGTTTTCTTTCAACGAAACTGGGCGGTTCACATTCTTTCCATGCCCTTCAAAATAAATTTTAATCGCACAACTTTATTTTCTTAAACTACACGCAATGTCAAACAAAAAACAATCAACAGTCATTATTTTTCAGTCTTTCCCATATACTTTCCCCAGACAGTTGTCTAGGTTCATATTAATGATCTCATAAATTGTTTAAACAAGAACTGATGTAAATTGTAAATACCTGCGCTCATCCCATGGAAATGCTTATGTCGTACAAACTGGATCGTCAATGCATTAATGCAGAGAAGAGGAACTGGTACATTTCCAACATAACAAGTACTGATGCATTGCCTACAATCTGTGGCAAGTCAAAGTAACAAATAATCAAGCCTCAGTAATAACTAATGAATGTGAAGTTCTGACAAAGCAATTTAGAAACAATTAAAAGTTGGCACTTCATAGTTCCAGGAGATGAATGGCATAATTATCAAAGTCTCTAACACTACTTCATTGAAAGAAAGCACAAAAATACCTCAGCAGAGGTTGCTAACTTAATAGGTAATGCACACCATTCAATTTTACAAGCGAATGATCAGTTCTACAATGGTCCTGATAAGAATTAGTGAAGTGTTTTTTTAGTTCATTCTTGCAATGTGAGAAATGGCATCATGCTAAGTAAAGACTTTCTAATACACCTGAATAATAAGGGCAGGAGAAACAAATCATGATAAAGATATAAGTTTAAGATCAGTTTAGTTGACAATGACCAAATAGGTGTTGGCACACGGGCTTTTTAACAGACAGCACTTCACTCACGTCATCACTTGTTTAATGTTTTAAGAGGCATTTTGCAGCGCGAGGCTGTCTGACACTAAAACGTTTTGTACGTGACTTGCTCAATAACATTAATGGAAAGGCATAAAAGACAAAAGAAATGGCAAATACATAACGTAAATTACCTTTTTAATGCCCTCCCATTCTACTAGACAAGAGAAAATACACTCATGCCTGCAAAGTTGAGGGTTTAAAGCGTGAATCAATCCACAAATAGAAATGTAAAGCATTCATTCATCATCATTACCCCAATGCCGCAAATGCTCCAACTACGGTGGGGGTAAGGGGGTCGAATGTACGCAGCTTTACCCCAGCACTAAAGCACAGAGAGACGCGGTTTCCGGATGACCCAAGGTGAAAATCGCGTTGAAAATTGTAAGGACTGATTGTTGCTTCATAACAAATAAGAGCAAACAGTTTAGTGAGTCATTTTACTTTATTCCATCATGTTCCCAAGCTAGAAAATAGTGAATCTTTAGCTCCATTGCAAATAATGGAAATAAATAGAAAGGTAAATGCAATATAAAATAAAACTTGAGAAATGGTCATCATTATAATCATCTTAATACCAACTAGTTGGGAATTGAGATTGGTGGGATTAAATTTATAAAGATGAATAATTTATATAGCTGATCTCATTCATGTAAAAAAAGCATCATCATCATTACCCAGTGTCGCAAAGGCTCCTACGATGGGGTAAGGGGGGTCGGATGCACACATTCTTACCCCCGTGCTAAAGTACAGACTGTTTCCGGATGACTGATGACCCATGGTGAAAATCGCATCGAAAATTGTATGGACTGATTGGTGCTTCATAACAATGAAGCACACACATTTTAGTAAACCATGATGCAAAAAAGCATGGTGACAAAATTTTAAGCAAGCCACATTGTTGCACTTGCATTTTTAACATGGGACAGTTAAAAATGCATGGTGACAAAATTTTAAGCAAGCCACATTTTTAAAACCATGTAGTTTTAAATTTTTTGTCACCGTGCAGTTTTAAGCAAGCCACATTTTTAAAACCATGCTTTTTTGTCACCATGCTTTTTTGCATCATGGTTTACTAAATTGTGCTTTATTACTAAACTAGTAAACTGTCACCATGCAGTTTTAAGTAGGAGGGTGTGAATGCATTTTTAAAACCATCAAGGTATAGGTCATTTGCACTTGCATGGAAATATCATGCCTTTATGAGACAGTGATGAAATGAGATGCTTATATGTACTGGTTACAACACAATATAACAAATACGGAATATATTTTATCACAAACGACACATAACTTCTTAGTATTATGTATCAAACATTCACACCCACTATACATCTAATTTTCACTCATCTAAACATCTAATTAACTAGACATCTAACTTTGTTTTGTTAGAGTCATGTTACAATTGTTAGAGCTTTATCATAGTATTTCTGGATATGTCGGCGGTTAATATACCTGCCGCATATCTGGAAGGAAATCCAGATATTTAAATCATTATTGCAAATCTAGATATTTAAAAACTACCCAAAAGGTCATATGGAGGGCACAGTTAGCAGCTGCCCCATCCCCGAATTTGTCCCCAGGGGTTGCCCTGTATCTTTAGGAAAGCTGCCACTCGATCCCCTTATGCTGCCATCACTCATGGTCATGTTGTTCCCCCCATTCTGGCCACAAAAAGCTGCCCGAACTCGATCCTGTATTGTAGGATTGGCTCCCACAAGGCTTCTTCCTCTCTTCCTCCAAGCCAAGCTCCTGCATTCTATTGATTCATAAAGTAAACAGGCGTGGAGGAAGGTAATGATTTTCCAGGAATATATAGCTTGTGGGGGATACAAGATTATGGTGACATTTATGTTGTTTTGTGTGTGTATGAACTGAAATTTTATTCATGTTGACATTATATAGCCTGTGTCCTGATTCCTCACTTGTTTTTAGCATTATGTATATTAAATTATAACATTTGATTCTCAAAGTAGAGTTCAAAGTGTGATGAGATGGAACGTGAAAATGTTTAACACAAAATGGTCTGCATGAGACAATATGTGAATTTTTTTATTTGATGTAATCTAACTGTTTTCGACAATGAGTAGACCTTTACTTGTAATATATTTTTTGCTGAGACAGACTAACATATTTTCACTTTTCATTAGTCCCCTATTTTAATTAGGAGATTTTATTCATTTGAACTAATTTCACATTTCCAAGTCGGAGGAGTGAATCCGGTCCACATGGAGTCTAAGGTATGATTGACATTTTTAAAAGTAAAATCCATTTCAAATAATTGAGAATTTGAAATGTCTGAATTAAATTCCAAAATCCAAAACATGTGTTTGGGATTTTTTTTGTAGAATAAAAATCGCCTAGAGATGAAATGTGCAATAAGCCTGAGAAGAATTGTGGATCTAAATCAAGCTTTGGAGCCCAACAAGAAAGAGTTATTAAGTTCTTCAATTTTTAAAAACTTAATAACTCTCACGCCGAAGCGAGAGACTACTGGGACGCTTGTGTGGGAACTCTGTGAGGGTTTTGACGGTACAAACTTTGTTTTTAATCCATCAACAAAAATGCACTTCTGCAACTAAGGTCCTCACTATCGAAAATACTAGGATCGTGATTGATAGCTTTGATGTCATGCATATCTCCTGTCTATCTTCACCCTCATGAAAAAAACATGTGATGGTTTCTGACCTTAAGCAACATATTATCAAAATGAAAGTTAAAAATAAGCAAGATGAGTTGATGTTTCAAATACTTCACACCCTCTACATAAATGATCAGTTACTCTTATCTAGTACAAACTACGAAGTGATTCAATCAAGATTTTTCAGCTAGCAGATGATTTGGAGAAAGTTAATTCTATCAATTGGTCTCAAGCTGTACTTAATCATCTATGCAAGGATTTGGCTGACTCCAAATGTTCAATGCTCTTTGAGTGGTATTCATCAACGTGTCGTTAATGATTGTTCCCCAATTTTGGACGTGGTTGTTTTTAGAGGATTCCATCTGTTTGTCCTGATGCACAAAAACAATACAGCCTTCTTCTTGAGAAGTACTTTACTAAAAGGATGGATCTTTGGAATCTGAAATATTTGATTGCTGATAAGGTAAGTTGGGATCTGAAAATTTTGAGATATTTTAACATTTGATTGTTGATGAGGTAATAACTCTTTTTTTCTCAGGTATTACCTTACCTGACATGTCAACCTCCTCCAGTTCTTCAAGCTTTTCCAGTTCCTTTGATGACACCCCTGGTGGAGAATGTCACGAGCTCATTAAGCTCGTCAGAAGGGGGTGGTGGAGGGGAGGATTTGTCACGATCTTTGGTCTCCTCTTTTGATAGCATAGCCATCGATCTGTAATTTCCTTGGTTTGTCTGCAACTCTTCTTGCAGATTGATGGTTTTGCTATCAAAAGAGGAGACCAAATATCGCGACAAATCCTCTCCTTCACCACCCCCTTCTGACGAGCTTAATGAGCTCGTGACATTCTCTACCAGGGGTGGCATCAAAAGAACTGGAGAAACTTGAAGAACTGGAAGAGGTTCACATGTGAGGCAAGGTAATATGTGGTGTAAAAAAAAGAGTTATGACCTCAGATCATTAGCACTCAAATGTTAAAATATCTCAAAATTTTCAGGTCTCGACTTACCTTATCAACGGTCAAATGTTTCAGATTCCAAAGATTCATCCTTATAGTAAAGTACTTCTCAAGGAGAAGACTGTATTATTTTTGTGCATCAAGACAAATGGATGGAATTTTTCATCATTTGCAATGGAGCCAAAGACTCACTATTCTTTGGCTTGAGAATATGATGTAATAAAGCAAAATGGCTCACTAAATTGTCTACGCTTCTTTATTCTGAAGCAGCAGTCAGTCCACTTAATTTTCGAGACGATCTCACTATGGGTCATCCGGAAACAGTCTCTTTGTGATTTCGAGATGATGATGAGGACGGATGAAATCCTCTAAAAAACAAGTACATACGTCTAAAATTTGGGAACAACCATTAAAGACACGCTGATGAATACCACTCGCACTCAAAGAGCATTTGGAGTCAGTCAAAGCCTTATGTAGATGATTAAGTACAGCTTGATATCAATTAATAGAATTAACTTTCTCCAAATCATCAGCTAGCTGAAATTTTTTTGATTGAACCACTTTGTAGTTTGTACTAGGAAGGAGGAACTGATATGATCGATTCTATAGAGGGTGTGCAGTTTTTGAAAATCAACGCATATTGCTTATTTTTTAACTTCCATTTTGCTAATATGTTGTTTAAGGATAAAAGTCAACACATGTTTTCTTTTCATGAGAGAAGAGAGATAGGCAGAACATGAGAAGATAGGCAGGACGTCAAAGTTATCAATCATGATCCCAATATTTTCGATACAGAGGACCTTAGATACCTCACAGCTGCATAAGTGCATTGTTATCGATGGATTAAAAACAAAGCTTGTACCGTCAAAAACCTCACAGAGTTCCCGCACAAGCTTCCCAGTAGCCACTCGCTTCTACGCAAGAGCTATCAAGATCTTGAAAATTGAAGAACTTAATAACTCTTTCTTGTTGGGCTCTAACGCCTGATTTAGATCCACAATTCTTCCCAAGTTTATTGCACATTTCATTTCCTCGCGATTTTTATTCCACACAAAAATATCGCAAACTCATGTTTTGAAATTTAAATCAGACATTTTAAATTCTCAATCATTTGAAATAAATTTTACTTCTAAAAAGGATTAATCATACCTTAGACTCCACATGGGCTAATTCCACGGATTCACTGCCCCGACTTGAAAATGTAAAATTATTCAATTAGTTAAAAAGTTCGAATGAACAAAATCCCCTCATTAAAATAACAAAGATACTACTACTGAAAAGTGGAAATATTTAAGCCTTTCTTAGCAAGAACAGTTTCAGTTCATTCACACAAAAAGCAGCATAAATATCACCATAATCTTGTATTCCCACAAGCTATATATTCTTGGAAAATCATTACCTTCCTCCACACCTCTTTACTTTATGAATCAATAGAAAGCAGAAGCTTGGCTTGGAGGAAGAGAGGCAGAGGCTCCCATGGGTTTAATGAAGGCGAGGACGGGCTTGAGCCGACCTTCGTGGGCTGGTTGCGGGCTTTTTAATTAATTTTCATTCTTTATAATTTTCCAGATTTGTTTCCTATTTGAAATTGATTACGATTTTTATTATTTGTTTCCTATTTGGAATTAATTGGGATTTCTATTATTTGTTTCATATTTGGAGTTCATTAGGATTTATATTATTATGTTTCCTAGTTTGGGAATTAGTAAATGATATGTAAACCCCTTGTTAGGGTTCATTCTTGGTTACTAGTTAGAAAAATTGGATTTCAACCTATTGGCTGTGGCAATGGTTTCTTCCGTTGATTATTGCATTTTTGTTCTCATCAATTGATCTGACCTGTCGGATTGCGTCCCCGCCAAAATGAACAAATCAAGTGTCGATCATCTGACAGAGGTTGAGGTCGAACAGGCCCTGATGGACCAGAAACTAGATGCGCAAGGGATCCAACTGGCGGTGGTCGCAACCTCCCTGGTGGCACCCTAGAAGCATTCATGCCGCCAATGGTGGCAAAGTTTTAGGTTAGTCCCATTTACCAAATTTGAGTTGTGTCGAAGTGCTCGGGCTTGTCCGTATCCATATGCTTGAACCCTATGGGACTCTCCCGCAAGCCTCAGAATGGCACAAGCCCGTCCGGGACGAGGTCTGTCCCCGAATCTGGCTCAACGCCAAGTCACTTAGAGGACCTTTCAGATGACGGGTGTCTCTCGGGTGATGACTAGAAGTATTATAATCGAGGGATGTCGGCCAAGCTAAGCCTCCCCGATTTGCCCTTAATTTCTCCACCGTTCGGCGTCAGAGACGGTGCTTGTCCATTAGTGCCATCACCATGATTCGCCAAGTCCTCCTGCCCTCTTAGGTTTGGACTGCGTCTTTCATCCGTCACCCCTTGCAGCATTTCGTGAGGCATGTGCTCGTCATCTCAATTCAGTCCTAATCGGCTTGAGGTTTTCTTCATGGAGTTCTTCTGTCATATTCTGGCTTTGCGCGCTCAGTTCGTCCCAGGCGCTTTCCGGCTCATGGCGGGGTTCATCGTTAGGTGTCACAGGGCGGATGTCATCCCGACCATGACTTATTTCTTCATTTCTTTAGGATACCATTTGGAGAGGGGTGGCTATCTTGGTTTGACTGCCCGTCCGGGGCGGATATTGTTTACAAACAATGCCCTGAACCCTGATGGATGGGAGGAGAGCTTATTCTTCCTCCTCCTCCAAGTCAGTTCTCCATTGCTGGATTGGTGGAACACCTTTCCAGCCAAGTTTGAGGATCCCCTCGCAATGAAGCAAAAAGGGTGCTAGCCGTAACACCAGGACTCCCCTCGTGCCCATCCAAGTTGATAAGGGGAAGGGGAAGATCGGGGTTGAGGCAGGGCATCTCGTCCAGCAATCCCTTTCCGTCACTCCATCTGACGCAGGGCCCGTTCGAAGAAGATGAAGCTCGATTCAGACCCTCACTCCACCGAAATTGTGGATCTCACAGACGATGATCCCACTGCAGAAGCCGAAGATCCGTGGGAGTCTATCGCCGGGTTAGGACCCCATTGACTCATTGAGAGTCTTGGGTTTTGTTTGGTCTATAGCAGAGTTTTTTCCTAAAATACTGTCAAGTTAAAACTAATTCCAACCATAATTAAGGAAAGTTGTCACTTGAAGCACGCAACAAAGCAACGCCAAAATAACAAATATGGCAATGGGTCTTACCCTAATTTAAAATCTAATCTTTTCTTTGAACTGTTGTAACTTTTTTATTTGTCTTCTAATTATTACAAAAAATATATCAAAATTCATAACTTTTTATTATCTTTCATATGACACCAATATTGAATATATAAAATCAAAAAATAATTTAACACTTTAAAAAATTATGCGTATCTGTTTTTAAAGTGTTATATATTTTTTATTTGTATTCTGATTATTACAAAAAATATACCAAAATTCATAAATTTTTATTATCTTTCATATGACACCAATATTGAATATATAAAACCAAAAAAGTAATTTAACACTGTAAAAATTTATGTCTATCCGTTTTTAAAGTGCTATAATTTTTTTTATTCAGATTATTACAAAAAATATATCAAGGCTTATTATTTTTTATTATCTATTATAGGAAAGCAATGTTTCATACAGAAAAATAAAAAGAAAATCTAATAATTTGTGTAGTTTAGTATCGTTTTTATCATGCACACATTTAATCAAGAGTGATAGATTAAAATAAAATTACACAAACTCCACCACATTTATTTATTTAATTTTGGTATGACAATTTATACTATTTTATGTCATAAGACATCAATATTGAATATATATAAAATCCGAAGTGCATGGTAAAAACGATAATAAACTACACAAATTAATAGATTTTATTTTTATTTTTCCATATGAAACATTGATTTCCTATAAAAGATAATAAAACATAATAAATTATCCAATAAATTTTGATATTTTTTTTTGTAATAATCGGAATAGAAATAAAAAATATATAGCACTTTAAAAACAGATACGCATACATTTTTAAAGTGTTATTTTTTTTTTTATTTTATATATACAATATTGGTGTCTTATGAAAGATAATAAAAAGTTATAAATTTTGGTATATTTATCGTAATAATCAGAATACAAATAAAAAATATATAGCACTTTAAAAACACATACGCATAAACTTTTAAAGTGTTAAATTATTTTTTGATCTTATATACTCAATATTGGTGTCATATGAAAGATAATAAAAAGTTATGAATTTTGGTATATTTTTTGTAATAATCAGAAGACAAATAAAAAAGTTGCAACACTTCATAGAAAAGAGCAGATTTTAAATTAGGGTGGGACCCATTACCATATTTGTTATCTTTGGCGTTGTTTTGTTGTGTGCTTATTCTTTAGTAAGACCGCCACTTCATGTGGCGGCTCTTGTATTATGAGAGAAAAACCGCTACTTCAAGTGGCGGCTTTCCTTAACTACAGTTAATCCAGCAGTATTTGGGGAATTATTTTTAACCCGGCCGTATTTTGGAAATTATTTATTTAACTAACATTATTCCGAGAAAAAACTCCAATCGCCCTCCCCCTTATAGTGCTCGATCGGGTTGAAGGTTCTTCCGAACTTTGACAGCTTGGATGAGCCCAGGCATGGCCTCGGTTCGGGCCGCCCGGCCCGGGACCGGCCCGACCCGCTACTGTGCGGGCCCGGCCCGGTCCGGTTATCCGGGTCCGGGTCCGGTTCGGGCCGGAGGCCCGGGGGTGGGGCGGTTCCGGGCTCGGTTCAAGGTTTTGACGGCCCGGCCCGGCCGGTTCGGGCCCGGGTCCGGGCCAAATCTATTTTTTTTTAATTTTTTTCATTTGTTTTGGGCTGTTGGGCTTGGGCTATCTGTTTAGGCCAGTTTGGGGGGGTTTGGGGGGGTGGGGGGTGGAGGGGGGTGGGGGAAGAAAGGAAAAAAAAAAAAAATTAAACCGGGTGGCCCGACCGGCCCGGCCCGGAACCGGACCCGGAACCGGTGGCCACCGGTTCGGGCTCGGGCCCAACAAAATTGACCCGAGGCCCGGCCGGGCCTAGGCCCGAACCGGGCCCGAACCGGCCCGGGTCCATCCATAGATGAGCCTAAGGATCTACTGGAGAGCATCCTTAACAAGTTGACCAAGGTATTATCGTAAGGCTTGCCCTTGCAGTGCGCGGTTTTCGCGAAATTTGGTTCTCCACAGCCGTCCAGAAAATCCCTATGATAATACAAGTATCTTTTTTAAAAGGGAAAATAGTCAAATAGACCCTCGAAGGGCTCGAACTTACATAAAAAATCAAATAAGTCCTTATATAGGAGGTTCTGTCCGGCCTCGCCATTTGGGGCGATTACCGTTGAATTTTATTAAGTCCAAATTTTTTGAAAATATTATTCATTAAGTCTAGTTGACTCATACCAAATTTCAGGTAACAAATCAACCGGGAAGTCATTCAAATGAATTCCTGAAGATAACTGCGCTTTTAACTGTGCAGTTATCTTTAATAATTTATTTGAATGCCTTTCCGATTGAAGTTTTAGCTGAGATTTGGTATGAATAAACTAGACTTAATGAATAAGATGCTCAAAAAAAATCTTCAAAAAATTTCACCGGGAACTGCCCCAAATGGCTACGGCCGGACAGAGCCTTCCATATAAGGACTTATTTGACCTTTTTATGTAAGTTTGAAGGCCTATCTGACAATTTTCCCTTTTTAAAATATTCGTAGTAGTATTTAGTTCAAATAATTTGATTGTATAAGATGTACTTAAGAACTTATCTCCATCTATTGATAAAATTACTGATTCGCTATACGTAAGAGTATTTAGTTCCCTTTTCAGTTCAATTAAGGGATAAGAAATTAAATGTGGTTTCCCTAAGAAGAATATTGACATTGATGTGCCGCATAGATGGAATTCCACTTGCCAATTCAGTATAAAGAACTATGGAACATGTATGTTCATAATCCGATGTGCTTCCCGTAATTGCAAATTGCTCGTACCTAGCCAGGAAGATTGAAGGATTACACGTAAGTTCCCGGATTATCAAAATTAGGATTCAGAAAAGAGCCCATTATGACCATGTTTGGTAAATGGCTTGTCAGTTATTTTTGGATGATTTGATCGAATTTAGCTCCTTTGACTGGTTGATCAGCTAAATAATACTTCGTGTGTTTGATGAATAGCTTCTTGAATCGGCTTCTTCATCCCAAGCAGCCAAGATTGGAGATTGGAAACACTATGCAATATGCATGGCAGCGTTTCACGTTGCCTTGTTCTATTTTTACGGTGCTCCACTTTTCCTAATACGTATTCCATTCTTTCCTTAAATTAATAGGAGTACTTTTTAGCTTAACTTTTTCTTTATTCTTTATTTATCTTTTCATTTTAGTTTAATTTATACATATTGATTATTATTACAAAAAATGTGAAGAAATAATATTTAATTTTTTATGTTTAGAAAATAAATTATATTAAGTTAATCAACAAAAGATTTGAACCAATAATTAATTAATATTACATCTTATAAATAAAAAGAGTTGGAAAGTTATATTTCATCCAATGCAGGTATTGGATGGGATTAGTCCTGGGCCGGGTCGGGTCCGGGCCGGGCCTAGGCCCGAGCAGGCCGCCGGTTCTGAATAGGTGGGCCCGGGTAGCCACCGGGTCCGGTCCGGTCCGGGTCGGTCCGGGACTCGGGTCAATTTTTTTTCCTTTTCCTAATTAACCCGGCCCCAACCCCCCAAACCACCCCAAATGGCCCGAAATACTCAACTGATCACCCCAAAGAGTTAAAAAAATTGAAAACAAATTAAAAAATTAAAAAGCCCGGAACTGGGCTCGAACCGGCCGGGCCGGTTCGGCTTTTCGGTGACCCGAGCCCGCACCGGGAACCCCCCCGGGCCGGGCCTACCCGGACCGGTCACTGGCCGGGCCATCGGGCCGGGCCGGTTCAGCACAGTACCGGTCCCGGGCCGGTTCTGGGCGGACATTCCAAATTTATTACTTAAAATATAGAAATAATTACATATATATGACCAGAATAAAGATGGTTTACAAAAATATGATTCATTACTAGAGTAGTAATGAAATCATAGTAATTCATGTTCAAGTTTTGAACTTTAGTTACTACAGCACTACGTTGTAGTAATGAATAGTGATATTTATGTAAATAAGTTTTATTTTAGTAATATTCTCGTAAAAACCCCTAAAATATATATACTTCATACATTCTTAATTTTTCAAAATTTGTTTTTTAAATGTTTTTACTAATAGAGAATAATATATATTAATGGTGGATTCTTCAATTGAAAAACAAGATAAAAGTTTCCAAAAATGAGAAGTCGTTCATAACAAAAAATAATACATATGCAATCGTGCCCTTATATGTCTTTTTGCACTCTAACAGTTATTCTCAAACAGCCGAATTTATCAAACGATTGTTGACAACAAGCTAACTTACTTAGCCAGCCAACCAACTAACACAATAAGCCATTTTAAATTATATACAGTTAATGTGTTGAATCGTTACTGGTTGAAGCAAATCAGTACCTCAATTACGTTTAAATGTTGCAACCGGCAGTACCATTCAATATTCCGGCCAAAAATACAGATGTTGCAAGTGGGCTTGAACCCACGTTAATCTAAAGATATCCCTTACTTCCCAAACGCAGCCACTAGACCACTGTGACCCTTATGAAAAAGAAGGAAGATAGTTGTATACATTTCGCGTTTTCTGTGAAACTTTAACATTTTATATTAATAATATAAATACATTATATATACGTATTACATTATATTACGAATATAAGTTTGGGTGCTCATTTGATTCTCCTTTAAAGTTTGGGATATTATGATTATTTTTACTAAAAAAAAAATGTCTGAAGTTTTAACCGTTGGAGTTTTTAGGCTAAAAATGTGACAAATAATATTTTAAAAAATATTTAAAGTAACATACTCCCTCTGTCCCCTTTTAAATGTCTCATTTTACCATATTGGTATGTCCCTATTTAATTGCCTCATACATTATGATGGATAGTCTACCCGGGGGTAACTTATCCGAG